AATATTTAAACTAGATCAATGATGGAATGAGAAGTTAAACATGTCAGTGATTTATTGGCATTGATTATATTCCCTATATGATTTCATCCTGTTAAAAGCCTAATAAGACCATTAACTTTGTATATTTGATTCAAATCAAATATCATTTAAACATTCCCATGTTCATAAAAGCAAGTGTGCCGAGGGTTGCTAGCAATGGGAAATTTGGATATTCACAATAATGCTGGAAATAGGAAGCTCAGCTGGCAAGAAATCAAGAGGTGTCCATAATTTGCTGAAAAGTAGGTTGCCTTTGTTTAGTTGTGTTTTGTTTTGTTCTTGAGAATCCAATGAAGAATATTGTGTTTGAAGATGCTGGAACAGGCATCCCAATGCAGTTGGTGCATATAGTGAGTTGCCAATAAAATTATATTATTTCTATGGTTCTCAAAGTGAGAAATGAGCTCTCACAAAATATTTATGTGGATTAGGAATTTTCTATATTTGAATGCCCACTTTCCAAGTAATCATCCTCCCCAAATCTTACTTATAATTATATTTATGGAAGAGAAATTACAGGCTGGGCACCATGGCTCATGCCTGTAGTCCTAGTATTTTGGGAGTCCATGGTGGGTAGATTGTTTAAGCTTAGGAGGTCAAGACCAGCTTGGGCAACATGGTGAAACCCCACCTGTATTAAAAATACAGATGCGGTGGCGGGTGCCTGTCATCCCAGCTACTCAGGATGCTGAGGCAGGGGAATTCACTTGAGCCCAGGAGGCAGAGATTGCAGTGAGCCATGATCCTACCTGCTACTAAAGTGAAATCTTCCTTCTAAGACACTATACTGCACATTCCAATTTTTTTTCGTGTGTGTGTACAAATTCACCCATACTGTTTCCCTGTTTGCAGAAAAATACTAAACATTTCAGGTTTTATTCAATATTGCCTGTAATTTGGTTTTGATTTAAATGTGTCTACATCTATACATCTCTTTTAGTGAGAGAAGGCAATGTAAAAGTAGAAAGATGAGAATCATAGAATGTAAGTAACGTGTTGAAAAAGTTGGAGAAATGAAGATCTACCAAACCCAACTGGAGAGCTGTTTCTTTAACATAATCTTTTATCTATTCAGAAGCTGTAGACGTGTATGGCTGCACTACATTTATTACAGTTTTCCTAAATAAGGGCATTGGTCATTTCTATAATTAGAAATTATAATTTCTACCATTGCACTCCAGCCTGGGTGAAAGAGCGAGACTCTGTCTACAAACAAAACAAAACAAAAACACACAAGAAAAGAAATTACAGGTTTCAGGTGTGGCCATTATCACAAATACTATTAGCACAAGATTTGTTGCATATACTGTTTCTAATTTCATCATTCTATACAATTATAGAATTCTATAGAAGTCTATACAAATGATCTTGCAGCTGGTACCAGGCTAGATACAGCAAATTAATAAATACTGAATAGTCAAACAAAATGACCTTAGCTTATGGTGTTTTATTGCATATCACAGAGACTCAAGGACAATGTTATTGCTCTTATATTATGTTAAAATGCTTTTAATGAGTTATTATGCTCCTCAGAATAGGCAAACATTTGTTGAGAACCTATTACTTGAAAATCATTGAGAATTCAGATAGATGGATGTTTATTTAGTGTTCTTTCGTGTTTATTCTAATGGAGGTACTCATCTGCATTAGATATTACATAAGCGATATTTTTGCTAATTCATTAACCAGAAACATACAAAAATATTGAAGCACATGCATCATTCTACATCTGTTGAATAAATGAATGGATGGATGGATAAGTGGATGGATGGACTGATTGGATAGACTGACAGATTGCTATCCTCCATACCAAAGAGCTTGTAATGTACTTAGAAAACTAGGCCATATCTCCACCGGTTTTCCAGGGAACCTAAGCTGAATGCCCAGTAAGTGAGTGACAAAGAGAGAAATTAGTATAAGGTTGGCTAATGTATTGAAATCAGAAGTGGTTGAGGAGGAGAATTTACACTGAACATTGTTGTTAGATTAGTATTTTAAGAGCACAGGGAAGAAACTGAGAAGCAGAAATTCCTCCAGTATACTTAAGAGTTATTGCATAATGAAAAGAAAATATTTGGGTTCTAATTATAGAAATGATCGATGCCCTTATTTAGGAAAGCTGTAACAAATGTAGAGCAGCCATACACGTCTACAGCTTCTGAATAGATAAAAGATTATGTTAAAGAAACAGCTCTCCAGTTGGGTTTGGTAGATCTTCATTTCTCCAACTTTTTCAACAGGTTACTTACATTCTATGATTCTCATCTTTCTACTTTTACATTGCCTTCTCTCATTAAAAGAGATGTATAGATGTAGACACATTTAAATCAAAACAAAATTACTGGCAATATTGAATAAAACCTGAAATGTTTAGTATTTTTCTGCAAACAGGGAAACAGTATGGGTGAATTTGTACACAAAAAAATGTAACGCACAGTATAGTGTCTTAGGAGGGAGATTTCACTTTAGTAGCAGGCTATTTCTGGGTGGGAGAAAGCAATAAAGCCAATACCTTGGAACATGTGTAGAAAAAATGCATATGCTTCTATATTTTTATATGTTTACAGCCAATGAATTAGCAAAGATATTACTTATCATGTAATATCTAATGCAGATGAGTGTGTACCTCCATTAGCTTAAACACTAAATTTTATTTATATTATTGCCCCCACTGGGGGAAAAATTGTCTTTTAATGAATAAACTGATAAACAACCCCCCAGATTTTTACAATATCAGGCTGTAAGCCCCTTGGTTTATAAATTAAATTACCATAGCGGCTAAAAATTATCCAAGTCTGTACAACCTGTGACTTCTGGTATGCACATCACATAACAGATGTAAGTGCCTATTATCTGCAAAGTAAAAGGTACCATTGAATAAAGCTTATTAATGGTTTCCTTAAATTGCTGCATTTAATCTTGAGAAACACCATTTTTTTCACAAGTTTTCTAAAAATAGAGATAGCTGTTTTATTAGTGCTCTGGTTTCAGTGTATAACAATTTGTAGATATGAATGAAACATCTTTGCACTCTATCCATTTCCCTTTGCAGATTATTTCTTACTATTTTCTGAGGCTGTGAGCTGAGTCCACCGTTTAGAAGACATACTCTTTCTTAAAACAAAATTCATTTAATCCCTCAAGATCTAGCAAAGCTATCTACTTTAATTATCTTATTAAATGTCTATGCCTTTTTCCAGTTATTTTTCTCTTCTAAAGAGAAAGAGCATGTGCCTTTTTTTTCTCTGTTTGAGAACATCTGCCCTTTAATTTGCATTTAAAATCTTTCTTTAAATACTTCAGTTACAAGTTCTGAATAGTGAAGACAGAGTAGTAGATGCTGCAGGCACTCAGTATTGGCTCCCACCCCTTCCCCCCACCCCACCCCAGACCTCACTTCTTGGCTTAAAATATAAAAGGGCACTTTCTAATGGCCCCAGTGTCAAATGTGAGCAGCCTCAGGCCTGTATGCAGTTAGATACAAAGCCATGAATCCCAGTAGCTTTCACAAGATACTTGCATTTAACCATACTCCAAGGAAATCCAATGATTGTGCCCAGATCCAAGGGTAGCACACCTTAGAAATGACCTCAACCATTTCACTGCAATGCACTAACACCCTCAGGGTGGCTTCCTACCATAGTCCATTGTCCTTCAGATCTGTGTCCTGCAGAGGAAGAGACAAGATCCCGCTATGACGCAGGAAGGAACAAGAACTGCCTCTTCAGCCCACGTGCTTAACTTAATCGAAAAGCTCAAGTCAATTTGAGGCAGTCTAAAGGAGACCTCCCTTCCTTAGTCTCTACCAGGCTCTTGCCCTTCCTCGGGACCATGCTTGGTTCCACTGCCATGATGTGGTAGAATCCGCTCTAAATAAGAACAAGCTGCTGGAATGAGGTCCACCAACCAGGAAAGGGTTTAGAAAGGGTTGCCACAACCCCAGCTATGAGAGACTGTGCCAAGACAGATCTTGGTGTGAGCCTATGATGGAGAGCCTGAGGGCAGGTCTGGGCTCTCCTTCCATGAGGATTACATGTGACCTCAGGGGACCTCTGCCCTCTTTTCCCACTCACCCACCGAGATCCCCTGGCCTGTGCTTCCTGGAAGAGGTAGAAGAGGCATTTTGAAGTCAATGACAACAGAGAATGAAGGTGCCATTTAAGAAACAAAGCAGCACCTCTTTGCCTGTGTTCAATCCCTCCACACAGGTGGAATCAAGTGAGAATGTGCACAGCCAGGACAGAGGCTGCTCTGAGCTTGAGAGGCAACAGCATCCTCCTAGTTGTCTCTGCAGAACAGACTTTCTGAAGACAGGAACTTAATCATGTGGTCCTGGGGGTTTCTCTATAATATACTGGCACTAGGAAGAAGGAAAATCATCTTTGCAGAGGGCTGATGGAAAAAAGGCAGGAATATTAATGAGCATCCATTAAGGCTCTCTCTCTCAAGCCTAAGGAATTAAGATATGCAAGGGTGTGAGACAGGTGCAGAGAGGGAGAGAGCCTGGCAGGAACACCAAGAAAAGACCTGTGACTGCTGGTTACATAGTGCTCTGCTTCCTTGCTTGAGGCCAACAGCATGTGCCTGCCTGTCACCAGGCTAACCTGGGACCCATGACGGGGCAGGGGTAAGACTAGTTTTCAGTTCCTGCATGATTTATAGGGTGTGTGGCTTCCTCCTAAAGATCCAAGAGGAGGACTCTGGGATCCTGTACTGCTGCCTTGATTTTGCGGAGGAAAGTCACAGCCTCTCTTCGGCAAAATCAAGGCAGCAGTAGAGGATCCCAGAGTCCTCTACTTGTTTGTCTTTCCTGCCACCACTGAAAAAACAATGTTTTCTGAAAAAACATTGGCACGGTTTGAAGCATTTTGAAAAATCTCTGCCCCTCCTCTCATCTTGCTAACCTTTAATTATGAAATTCCAGGTTCTTTCAATAGTTAACATAACTTCTCCTTTCTTAGGTTCTCCATATCGAGATAAGATTACTATAGCAATTCTTCAGCTGCAAGAGGAAGGCAAGCTGCATATGATGAAGGAGAAATGGTGGAGGGGCAATGGTTGCCCAGAAGAGGAGAGCAAAGAGGCCAGTGCCCTGGGGGTTCAGAATATTGGTGGCATCTTCATTGTTCTGGCAGCCGGCTTGGTGCTTTCAGTTTTTGTCGCAGTGGGAGAATTTTTATACAAATCCAAAAAAAACGCTCAGTTGGAAAAGGTAAATGTCACTCTTTTACAGTTTAAATTTAAAGCATTTTTTGTTGTTATATTAAAACACAAACCAAAAGATTTTTTATTTTACCAACTAAGGATAATGCTTAGAACTATTGCTCTAAATTGTCTGTCATTCATTATATAACAAAATATAATGACTCATGATCACCTTTATGATTTTTAATTTAGTTGTAATATGTTTAATTGTAGCCAGCTTCAGAACAAATAGCTATTTCTACTCCTATTAGAGACTGAAACAAACAAACAAACAAACAAACAAAAAAACCCACAACACTTTTGTGGCTTGAAGTTCATTGTAGCTTACTGATGAGACATAGTTAATTGAGTAAAAATTAGAAACTGTAATATGAAAGAAAAAATACTCTGCAAATTAAAAAGAAGGTTTTATATACAACATGGTTTAACAGTTTCAATTTAAAGAGTAAGTTTTCATTTCAATAGCTTTGCTCCAATGCATTTCTAGTTTAAGAAAGATGTTAGCTTTCATAAGAGAAATTAATTTTCTATATTAATCAGTTTGTGAAAATATTATAGTTTCTTTTTTGCATTTGACAGTATTCTTAATTGGTTCTTTATTTTTTTTTACACCAGAGTCCTTCTAAAAATATGTATAAACTTCAAAAATATTGAGGCTATTGCTATATTTCGCATTTAATGCATGTAGTCATTTGTATAAATTTTTTTTGTATTATCCTTGAAAAATTTGTCACCTCATTCAGATTCCATATTTCTAGTGCTATAATTTCCTCATTTCTATAAATATGAGGTAGACTAGAAAACAAACTCTTTCAGAGTCTACATGATACTTTTTGTATGCAACTTTATTGATCTGGATATGAAAAAAATAACATTTTAAAGTCTTCTAGTATATTATTTACTCTTCTGTGTAAACATCTCTTTTGTTTTTGATAAAACTCACAATATTTTAGACTTTGACCACTGTGGCAGAGTGCGATGATATAATCTTTAATATTTAAGAGGTTTATGAACTTTTGTTGGTAAATGTAAAGAGCAGAAAAGTGGTATTTTGAAAATAATGCCATACAGGAATACAAGGTAAATATATTTTTCTAATATTCTTTGAAGTGTCTGCACCTTTAGTATTATTTTTGAAAATAAAAATCCTCCTTTGTATCTAGTAACTTATGTCATAATTATTTATCCTTTCTGCAGTCGGAATTTTGGATACAGTATTTCTACATTTTTGCTTGATTATAGTACTTGACACTAGGGAGTGTTTTCATAAATGTATATTCTTATAACCCCATTTTGTCAATGACTAAAATAACTGAAGTTTTTGAAGAATTCAGACAATAACGTGATTTGTTTTCACAAAACATTCAGGATTGTTATTTATGCTGGCATGGCTAAATCAAATATTGGTTGCATTTATGTGTCTAAGTACACTTTTTATGTTATAATTATTTTTAAAGTGTCAAAATGAATTTTGCAATTAAGTCTAAACTAACAAAAGAAGAAATATTAACTCAGTAATTATCATTTTCAGTATTTGTTAATAAATGTGATATTTAATGTGTTAATACATAATATAAGAATGAGTATCATAGAAGAAATATGGGTTTTCTGCTTGGAATCTCAAATTATCCATATGTATTAATTTTCTTAAAGTTAGATCAGTATTAAATAAAATGAATTTTAATAGATCAGTATAAAAATAAAATGAATTAGTCTCTTGATGATATGTGGTATTCTATTGTACATACCTGTATGTATCCCATTCATTTGGTTTATCTAGGCTGTATCTCTAGCACAATTTTGTTTTACAAATATTTGTTTAAAACAAAACAAAGAATGTGATGATTTAATTTTGTAATATAATGTGCATCATTGTTATTATGTACAAGTTAAGTTGAAATTTTCAGATACTACCCAGATCTCTTGTTTTGTGGATCTATATGACCTTCTAAAAATTAGAAAAATATAATTAATGTACCTTTTCAAACTGAAACAGTGAAGCATTAACATTACACTAGAAAGAAATAACTGAGTGGATATTACGTGAGTATGCTAGTCACACACTGCAGTGCTTTGCACACTGTCTCTACATAGCTTCCACAATGAAATCCAGATTTCTTAGATTAGCAGATGAGACCATGTCAAACCTGTCCCTGTCCACTGCTGCAGTTTTACCTTTTGCTCCTCTTCAGTTTGCACCTTTACCATAGCCACACTACATTTTAACTCTCACTTTCCCAAGATCATATTCTTCTTTTTGACTGGAGCAAATGTTATCTGCTATTCTAACTTGCAAACTCTCACAAACACTTTGTATTAGGCATTTAAAATGAGACATTAACTTGTCAAGAAAGCTTTCCCAAATCAAAATATATGTTGGATTTGAGAACAGAGCATAGCTTGTTGCTAAGAATTGGAAGTATGTTTTCATTTCCTACTGTAATGAAAAAAAAAATTGTGACTCATCTATTTCATCATTTTACTTGGTTTATTTCACATGCTGTGTTGATCTAAAAACATATATCTCCTTTTGAGAAAGATGGGAAGATCTTTTTCCATTTCAAACCATTTCCTGCATTAAGTCTAGATATCTTCACTCTGTATACCCCTTGGCACATCTCCATTATCCCTTTAACACTATTTTATTCATATTTGTTTGTTTCTGTGTGTGGGTACCTTTTCACCTATTAAATTCTTCATACCATTAGAACAAAGACCTAGTATTTTTTGTTTGTCTCTACAAGGCCTCAAATAGTGCCTGGTGGCCTAATATCTCTCTCTCTTTCTATGTACTATCATCTATCTATCTATCTATCTATCTATCTATCTATCTATCTACCTACCTACCTACCTATCATTTAAATTAAGAATGAAGTTGATTGCAGTAACCTTTTAAAAGAGTATCATAGACCGGGTGCAGTGGCTCAAGCCTGTAATCCCAGCACTGTGGGAGGCCGAAGTGGGTGGATCACGAGGTCAAGAGATCGAGACCATACTGGTCAACAAGGTGAAACCCCGTCTCTACTAAAAATACAAAAAATTAGCTGGGCATGGTGGCGCGTGCCTGTAATCCCAGGCACGGGATTTTGTTTTTTAGGGTGTAGTCTATTTTCATAGTCTATAATCCCAGCTACTCAGGAGGCTGAGGCAGGAGAATTGCCTGAACCCAGGAGGCGGTGGTTGCGGTGAGCCAAGATCGCGGCATTGCACTCCAGCCTGGGTAACAAGAGCGAAACTCCGTCTCAAAAAAAAAAAAAAAAAAAAAAAAAAAAAGATAAAGAAATAAATTATTTTTCTATGTAATTAGAAATGGCAAATCAAATAATTATGGATTCATTGGAAATGACTCATTTTATTTGTTGTGGTAAATTAGGTTCTTAGGCTCACTTCTTCATTTTTCTTGAGAAAATTTAGGTTAATTTATATGGCTATTTAACACATTACTTAATTTATTAAAACTAGCTGTAAGATAGACTTGGATCTTGTCATATGTTTGAGAACATACAGCAATTCAGTTTACTTTTACTTATCATATTTGCATCTTTAACCTAGTTTTCTTAAATTTCAAAAATAAGGTAAACACTTGTGAGATCGATTATTTACTCAATACATATTTATTTACTGAGAAATAAATCTACAGTGAATTGTGTTTTGCCCTTTGAAGGTAAGCACAAATGTGTTGGTAACTAAATAGTTTATCAGATATAATATACATGAAGTTTAGTTGAATGTGAACTTTGTGAATAAAATTGATAAATAATGAATATGTTACTTACTTTTAATAATAATGTTCAAATTATAATATATTAATTTATATATCAAAACAAAATGTCTTTTATAACACATATTGTAAATGTTAGTGAAAACAAATAGCTCTTGATGATGATAGCCTTTCTTATAAGTTGTTGGATAATTAAGATAAATATGCAAATGTTTCTTTTTCAAATTAGAGCAGATTAAAAATAAAAACAGAAAATAATGTTGAATTGTGGCCCTTAAAACATTTTAAAAATGGAAATTGCATTCCTTTCAGATAACCAGAAGATGATGTATCATAATTTTTGTAAAAATGGATTTAATTGTGTTGTAATTATTAATGCATCAAGGACACATTGCTTTTTATTTGTTCAAACTTTTAAAATATTCCAAAACCTTTCTCATCTGAATATGTCTGAAAATGTAACTAATCAACACATGCATTTTATAATTAATTTACTTTTTGCCTTACCTTTTCTTTGATATTAAATATATTTCTACTGAAGTTTCACTAAGAAAGAAATTGAAGAAACTGTTGTATATCTGAGACAATTATAACATTTTAAGTGTATAGATTTGGTTGAAAGGTCTTGTTTTCCTCTTCTAAGACTTACTTCTGGCTGTAACAAGCTGCTTATATACTGAGTTTTGTTTTTCCTGGTAATATTGATAATATGTTGGCTTTGTGAGCAAGAATTTTAAGATATCATAATAATTTAAATTTTTGGTAAATTTAATATTTTATTTTTTTATAATATTTTAATATTATAATATTTTAATATTTTATAATATTAAGAATGATTATGCTTAAAATTATGCATTTCTTAAATATTTGAATATGTCTGCTTTTAACAGACATACATAATTTTTCTTTTTTTTTTAGGTTTTCAACAAGAACAGCAGCATAACTTCTATAGTTTGATATCTTTTCATGTGATTTGTATATAAAAATAATATTTGCCCCATGTATTTTAAAATGTATTTACTTATACAGATTGTTTCTATTGAACTGCCTGAATATAAATTATTGAGTTTCCTGACATAAAAGAGTCTTAAAGCCAAAAGTATTCCTTCTCTTATTACTTACGTATAAACTAAGTAAATATGTCTCAGAAATTTAATGTATATATGAATTACTGGTCAGATACTGAATTTGTGCAATAGGTGTCTCTTCTTGAACACACATTTTGTTGTCTTTAAAATGGTTAAAATGTATTTTTAAATCTATGTGATGTTGTTTTTTAGGACGTA